GGGGCCCGCGCCCGCCTAGGGGCGGTGGGAGAGACGCGGCCTCACAAAATGGCCGCCCCGCGGGGGGCGTGCTCTGGGCTTCCCGCGTGGCCCGCGCGGGAGCCGGGATGGTGGCGAGCGCCCCTGGGCCTCGTGTCCTGCGGGACACCCCGTGGGGAGAGGCTAAAGGGGTTTGTTTCGTGGTAATGTGCAGAACACCAGCACTGTGGCGTTTCCCGCTTGCCCTGAGCAGCTATTGCCACTCTTCACCCAGCTGGGAAACCCAAAGAGTGCTCCAGCRTGGAGAAGAATTCCGTTTCTTGTACTTGTCCGTTGGGAAAATGCAGATTGCGACTGCCGCTTGGAGATGATGCACACTATAAACATAACTATACTCTATACAAATACATATATAATGCTTACATGTAGTAGGGGAACAGTTCAGAAATGCATCTGAGAATGGGAAAACATTCTCAATGGGCACATCAGATGAGGGCAGGAATACAAAGAGCCTCCAAATTCCTTAGTACGACTTAGTACAAATTAGTACAACAAACAGCTGCTGCTGCTGCCGAGCCAGGGGTGACCTGCAGAAGCTGTGGTGTTTCAAAAGCCACTCGGCCACTGTTGGGAAAACCACCAAGCTGCCATGTTCAGCAAGGCTTTTGACACCGTCCCTCACAGCATCCTCCTGGGCAAGCTCTGGAGATGTGGGATAGATGAGTGGATGGGGAGGTRGGCTAGGAATTGGCTCAGCGGCAGGGTGCAGAGAGTGGTAGTCAGTGGCAYGGAGTCCAGCTGGAGACCTGTGGTTAGCGGTGTCCCCCAGGGGTCGGTCCTCGGTCCGGTCCTGTTSCAACTTATTCATTAACGACCTGGATGAAGGGATGGAGTGCTCCCTCAGCAAGCTTGCTGATGATACCAAACTGGGTGGAGTAGCTGATAGCCCTGAGGGCTGTGCTGCCATCCAGAGGGACCTGGACAGACTGGAGGACTGGGCGGCVAGAAACCTCATGAGGTTCAACAAGGGCAAGTGCAAGGTCCTGCACTTGGGGAGGAATAACCCTGGACACCAGTACAGATTAGGGGTGGACCTGCTGGAGAGCAGCCCCGCAGAGAGGGACCTGGGTGTCATGGTGGA